AGCACTGCAAACAAGATAAAGAACTGATGTTCATATCCATGGGTTCGACCATGGTCAATGATTTTTATTTTTAAAGCTACTGCTTTTAGAATGAGATAGGCAGAGGCTTATTTTTAATGCAGTAGGAACTGTTTGTTCAAACTTTTGTGATAATTGGTCTATGGAGTTTGCTTATGGCTGTAGAAATGTTCTGCACAACACTGAATAAATTTCTATACATTCAAATTCCCAGCAGTTTTGCTGTAATTTTAAATGGCCAGGTTGGAGACCGGAAAGGAATACAGCTCTTTTATGTTCTTACCGTTGTTTCCAGGCCTTTATTTCAGGCATCTCCAACTGGGGGATATCATGTTGGGTGCTTTGAAGAATGCAGCTTTTTCAGAGAGGATCACAGAATTCATTTTAAACAAAATTCAAGAAAGGATTTCTTGGTGCCCAATCTCAATGGGGAGAGAGTTGTGTAATTAGTTGTTTAATGCCTGTTCTTATCTTTGGATAGGAATTGCCAATTCATGTTTTGAACTGCACAGAAATGCCACTACCATCTTTTCTGAGTGTTATTCACAGTTTTGGTTAGGGTATGACTAGGTCTGAGAATAGACTGCACACAACACCCCATCAGTTATGAAATGGATCCCGTGTCATGTTTCTGACTTTTAAAAATGTTTTAATTTATGTCAGACGTCTAACTATACTTGTCGAAAGTTTTTGTAAAAAGGTTAATGCATAGAAAACTTGGGTCTTGAGTGTAAGCATTGAAACTATGTAAACATTTTGTGATAGCCAGCTGTCATTTAATAGCTTAGCAATAATTCATTGGTCTTTCCATTAATTTCTTTTTTGTTTGATTGTTTTCTTTTTTTTACATGTAGCATATGTGAAATAGCCAGCAAATGAGAGTTTTATCACTCGGATACAGTTTGACATTTTTAACACTTTTCAAACTTTACAAAGACCTGTTTACCATATGGTATAAGTGGGTGTGCAGGAAACGACACCGTTTCATGAAGTCTGATCATACTGTACTACTTTTCCATGAGCTGAGCATGAAAGTTTCCTTTTAACAGTGTGCTGAGGGCAACCCTTTGAAGCAAGGGTGTGTAAGCGTGGACAGTAACATTTATGTATCAGTGCTTCTGTAGGTGACCTTTTTTTTTAATTACTTAATGCTTTACCTTTCCTTATTTTAGTTTGTCCTCAAGCATTTGCTCCACATTAATATTGCAACATGTGAAAGGAAGTAATCAGAAAGCAGGATTTCTATATATAAATTTTTTGTTCTTGCAATAACCAGTTATTATTGCTTCTGTCCCAAGTATCCTATTTTCTGTTTACATTCTACCTTTTCTTTTTAAAAGTGCTGCAGAATTTTGTGGCAGTTTCTCAATCCTCGAATTGAAATCCTTATGTCATTAAGTTGAATTAGTTACAATAATTTATTCAGAGCTAGGGTCTTCGCAGCTTTCAGTGACATTTAGATACTGTTTCCAAATATTGTTCTGTATTTACATACAATTCTGGTTTACTTCAGCTGCTTTACTTCAGTTAGAATCAGCACTTCATGCGAGGAGGAGATGCCTTTAATGCATCTTTGGCCAACTCCGTCTTGCCTGCAGGGGCTCTGCCTAGTGCGGTGTCTCCGATACACGATGTACAGCGTTAGCAGGAGCATGAGGCTGAGCTCAGACTGGCAGCTCGTGCTTGTTCCCGCTGCAGGCCAGAGGTTCTGCTTCTGTTCACGCAGCCATTTAAAAGTAGAAAAGTACCTGTGGGTAACCACTTCTCAAGTTACAAATTAAAGAATCATTTAAAAGCCAAAAGAACACAATTATTCAACAAAAAGTGTTTTTACATACATTGACAAATGTTTAATAGACAGACCCACCTAAAGGCTTTTTTTTTTAAGAGTTAATAGAACCTATCATAAGTCTCTGAAATTACATTTTATCTCCTGATTATCAGATAATTAGCAGCTTGATTAATTTTTAAACAAAGTTTGGCGAGTGAAAATATTGATCCAGAGCTAAAAACTTCAGAGCATTTTTGTTTGTTTGTTTTTCGAAGTTTGTTCTTCGATATTTAGTGCCTGGCAATGTATGTGACAATAGCAATACCCTTTCCTTACTTATTAGAGTCTATAATAAATACTCTTTAAAAGTGCATTAAACAGAGCCTGTTGGGACATATCTGTAGTTTATGAAATTATATAATTTAACAAAATACAGTTTCCAAAATATATTTAAAAATGAGTGCTTAGCATGCGAGCTTCGTGGCACAAAGATTTTAGTTTTGGTAAACCGTATTTAAAACTTTGCACATCTTTTCTGTTCCTTTAAAACAGATAGCATCTTTATTACTTTGTAAAGCGAAGGCAGGAGGAAGACGATTTGAGTAAAATAATGCATGTAAATCTACATTGCAGAGATAGCACTTTGCAGTATTGCAGCCTCCTGGCACCAGCACTCAGGAAGTCATGACAGTTTGTGCCACCAGTTGCTTTTCATATTCGACCTATCTAATCCTGATAAGGGTGCCTTGAAGACTGGGGCCAAGGCGTCTCCCGAGCTCTCCGTGCGCCGTAGCCCGTCTCCCGCTCGCGTGGCCCCGCTGCCTGCAGGCCCCGCTGGCTGCGGGCCCACCGGGCCTTGCTCGGCATTGCCAGCTGGAGTAGCAGCCCCTCGCGGCCGCTGCCGGCCATGAAAGAAACGGTTCTGGCATGGCAGCTGGGGGGTGCACAACAAAACACTGAAAAAAAAGTCTGAAAAACAAGTCCACCCGTGGCTGCCGTGACCAAGGTCATGCCGTGCCATGCCCTTGCTTTGCACCTCTCTTAAGGTCCTTCTCACCTCATGTCAGGGTTTACTGGGTCGTGGGCTTGGCTAACTGTATATTGAAATGGGATCCAGAAAGGGAAAATGATTCAAATTTTATGTGTGTATATATATATATGTGTGTGTGTGTGTGTATATATACACATAAAAGTTATATATATATATATGTTATATATATATGTATTAAGGAGCGGTATTTATTGTGTCTTGTGAGATCCTTTGCTTGTAGTCTATTACTATTTTTATTTAAAAGAACTTCCTTTTCATGCACATCTTCTTCTAAATTGAGATGCTTGGAGGTTGCTATCAGTTGTTACTTGGTTAAAGGCTGTGAGAGCTGTGAAATTTTTTCAAAACTGTAGTCTGCCTTGGGCTTTTTATTAAAAGTACATCATTTCACACATATCCTGTAAAATCTGTTTTCCATACTATGTCAATGGCGCTGTTTATCTGTGCAAATATATTTCTGAGACAAAGTAAACTTTGAGATATGAGTTCCTGTTAAATGATCTGGTCAGTAACATGTTGAAGTTACCTGATGTTCGGTGTAAGTTTTAATATTTGCTTTTGTTGATTAAAGATAGTTATTAATATTTGTGAATAGGAAGTAGATTCAGCCATTCCTGGCTTATTTGCAATGTTTTTATAATGATATTATGAGAAAAAGAAACTTTTTTTTGTAAAAACATCTTGAGGATAAAACTAAAGAACCAGTGAAAAGTGATAGTTCAGCATTTCACCTACTCTCCAAACAGATATTTTTGTGCGCAGATAATCTGCATGTCGATAGCTCCTTCCGATCACAGCAGTGCGTTTGTGCTTATTCTTGGATGCCTACAAGATTTTGCTTTTTGCTACGTTACCATTGAATCTGGAACTAAGTGTGATATACAGTAATGCATGCCTCGCACATTGCCTTTTTCACTTAAGAAATAACATTCTGCTTGGGAAATTTACAGTAATCCTCTATTTATTTCCATTGGCTGTTCTCATGCAAATATTTTATTCTCCTACTTAGTAACTGCTTTCAGCTTCCATTCATTGTAAGCTTTAAAAATCCCTGGAAGGTGAATGAACTTCATGCTGCTCGGCACCTCAGAATGTCAGGCCCAAATGGAAGTTTTTCTGTAAAATGTTTTTTGGATGAGTGTAACTTTACAGGCCACCTGAAAAGTACTGTTTAAGTTTCAAAACTAATTTTGACTAACTGACTTAAGAAGTCGATTTTTTTCTCCCCCTTTGATTCTTATTTTTCTGCATCACTCTTTAAGAATGTAGTCACTTTGATACTTTAAACACCTTTGTTAGCAAAAAAGAAAATAGTTTGATTATAGCAAGTCTTTGATATAGTATCACTTGTAAAACTTAAGTTTAGTATCTGATGTAAAAACTTCAAGAGGAAATTAATTTTCTTCTGGTTGCCAAAAGATGATTTCTATTGATAGGCTATTTTTCAGCCTTCTTAAAGTCTATTAATGAACAGTTCAGGGTATAAGAATTGTAATTATACAGTTTCAAGGTACACACTATCAAACTAGGGAATTGCATTGCTCTGATTATTCATACCTTAGTCCTCAGTTGGAGAGCTTTTATGATATTTTCGGCATCCCTGTGCATCAGAGACATTTCAGATTACTTAGTCTATCAGAAGCTTCTGTGTATTTCAAGAACTCTTGGCTTAAACTCGAGCTGACTTGCTGTCCAGCTACCTCTTTGATAGAGGGTGAGAAACGGTCCTTCAAGTGAGTGGAACTTTTTATATGTCTTCATGAAAACTGGCAGTGTGCAAGAGTTTTCATTTAAGCATAACTATAAAGGAGCCTTATTATGAATGTGTAGTTAAAATATTCTTCTTGGTTGCTTCAAAATATAAAAGGCCTAAAAGCTCTATTTTCTTCATACAAAGAACTATACAGCTTTTACAAGATGAATGTTTAGGAGCTTTTTAGTAAAGACAATAACATTGATTTCTTTTTTATATGTATTTATATAAACATTTTTGATATTTTTCAGAAAATTGTCTTAGTTACTAACACCAACATACAACTACTAGCTGAGTCTTCCCAATCAAGCTTTTTTGTTTGTTTCACTACATTTTAATAAAATTTCTTGCTTTTCACTTCTGATACTGAAAATTCTTTTCTTGATCATTTTTTTTTTCTTTTCCAGATTGTCACATATTATTCCAGTTTTCAGAAATACTGAGAAGAGCCCAGTGTATACACAGTTCCTGTCTACTCTGCTAGAAGAGCTGCATTTCAAAAACGAAGATCTTGAAAGTTTAACAAGAATATTTAGAAAGGACAACTTACCTGAGTGGTTAGTCAATTTAAGTATTTATTTTTATTAATATTTTTTAAATTATTCATATTTTCATTTTTAATGTGAATTTTGTATTTCATAAAACTAAATTAGATAACAAGGTGTTTATTTTTCAGTGTTTTATAAGCACAACTGTAACTACAGATTGTATCTGTCAGTTAAAATGCATAAAGTACATTTTAAAGTGAAGAAATATATATGGTATGGAAAATAGTGTTGTCATTTTGTCAGTTACAGTAAATTGCTGATTTCTTATCACTTTAATCTTTTGATAATATGTAGTTGGTTTACTGCAGTTTTGGGAGGAATTCTTCCTCAAGTTCTATTAGGACTTAAGGAAAACAAAAAGAAACTTTATGTGTGGCTACAATAACTAACTTAGCAGCTTTGTTTTTTATTAAAATGATTATTATGTTTAGTCTTTGATATAAAAAATGAACTGTTCAAAAATACTTTTTTGAATATCATTACTTTGCATTATGGATTTTCTGAAAAAGCAAAAGCAAATGCCTTATTTATACTGGAAACAACATAGTATTATATAATTAATTAGGTTGTTAATATCATCGATCACATTCCTTTGTTTCCCACAGAACAAGATGGTCACCTTAACATCTCCTGCTGTCCAAAATGGTGGTGTGAAGAATAATGTATCGTCAGTGGTTGGGACTTTACTTTTTATGAAAATGAAATTGTTGATTGTACTTCTTGCTCTTTTGCATTCATTTCTTTGCTATGAATAAAATCCTAAAATCTTTCAGAGACACGGAATAAAGAGCACTTTTCAGGGTGTGCATAAAGACTGGCTAAGGTCTGAAAACTGACAGTTTAAAAGCAGCTTGTTTGTTTTCTTTGCTTTTTAAACTTTCAGTCAAAATTTTTCTACAGGAATTGGGGGAAGATAGGAAAAAATAATGTTTGCGTGAAGGAGTAAGGGCACTGCTGCTGGCATCTTTCCTGTTGACTCAGTGCATGCAAGAGTGTTCTCCAAGAATGACAAGAGTATCCAAAGATCCCTGGATTACAACCTGTTAACGTCTACTTCTAAGAAAAAGGGGAGTCTTTTGAACTCGTGTAGAAGTTATTTTTAAGCACTAATTGATAATACTTTGTGCTTTAAAATAGTTTTTTAATAACAAAAGATTTGATTTTTGGCTTTTGTAATCATTTCACTTACAATAGTTATTTTGTTTAGACAGAGACTTTTTTGACCTGTTCCTATTAACTGTATAATTAGAAAATGCAATTTAAAATTAATCCAGTTTTAATTCTTAGTGATGTTCTAAGTTGGTGTATTTTACAGTTCTCAGTTCATAGCACAGTGTACTCTGACAAGCTTGAAAGGAAAGCTGTAACTGACAGCACTTAGTCTGCAGTCAATAGCATCACTAGGTAAGACTAAAGCAATACTTAACTGCTCCATTTGGAAACATTTTTTTTTCTTTTGCCTTTTACTTGGATGCCAAAAGGGAACTCTGCATGTAATTTCTTTTTTCTGGGTAATTTCTTCAAGAGATAAATGTGTTGATATCCTCACATGTTAGTCTGTGCATTTCTGTCCCTGGAAGCTCCACTGTACAGTACAGTTTCTTCAAGTGATGCATAGCTTCTCTTAACCTACCTTCTAAGGGGAAGTCACATTCAGTTTAACCTGTAAAGCAATCGTTTAGAATGAGGGAGACATGTAGTGCAGAGTTGAAGTTGTATGTTTTTCTAGGTGTGTAATATGGGGGAAAAAAACACCCATCACATTTGGAGTTTCTGATGTCAAATTCATAAGAATGCATGATGTAATCTAGGTAGAAGATGCACCATTTTGTGTCATGATGGAAAACTTCTTACTTAATTACATATGCAACGAAGGGACAGGACCTTACCAAAAGATGAGCTTATAGACAACCGAGTAATGAGTAAGATTCCTTGAGCAAAACTGAAATCTTACATGTAAATCTGATCTAGGAAATTGAGTATATCAGGATTTCTTTTATTTATTACTTTGCTATAGATTCCAAGTCCCTGTTATGCTCCATGCATCAGTTTATCTTGGGGCATAAAGATGACAGCTGCCCCGTGCCAATGCTACTGTACTGACTGCACTTGGAAGGAGATACAAGCGTACCTCATACTAGGAATATGACTCTTGTTTCATCAGGTTCAATGGCTCTCATTTGAAAAGTTTTTACATTTCCTGTCAGCTTAGTGGTATGATTTTGTTAGTTATTTTTAGCTTGCTCTTCAGCATTTACTGTGTTGGAAACAGTTGTATTATGAATAGGTCACAGGGCCAAAGACCTCTTTATTGGGCTTCACTGTAGTTGCTTTCACTGTCTGCCTTCAGCAGCTGAAAAGAAAAAAAGTTTCCATTATTTTTGCCTCTCTTCCTTGGCTGCTGTGCTGTTACCTCACTACTTTTCCTTGATCTGAGGGAGAAAAAAAAAACTGTTCTTCTTCCATGACCTTTTTCACCCATCCAGAAGAAAGAATTTTATAATGTTGGAAATACCTTGAAGGTATTTTATTTGCTTACCCTTAATGAGTCCGATTCCTATAGACTTGATTGAAATATGTGTCAGTAAACGTAGAAATTGTTCATATATCCATTACTTTTCAATAGTAGAAAGGCCATAGACTAGCCTAAAAAGGCTCTTTTGTATTATGAGCCTTAGCCTGTTCTGCAAAGAGTGCAACATGAGCATCAGAGGACAAGTTCATTCAACCAGTTTGCATTTGCAAATTTTGTAGCAGCTTAACTGGGTAGAAATTTTCAAATCTATCCCTCATCTGTGAACTTAAAACTTAGTTTCTTACACAACTATCTGTCCCTTAACAGGCTTTACTTTCTCAGTCCACTTTTTTTTTTTTTTTTCCCTCATTTAGGTTAATGTTTGCAGGCACTTTGTTTACTCATGGCCATGCTGCTCTACTTGGTGTTTTTCCTTCCTATGTTAGCTTAGTGGGTGAGAATAGGCGACGCCCGGCTAAGTGGTGGGTTTGAGCCTTATCTGAGATGGGCTGAATTTCAGTGTCTTGGTTGTCAACTGCAGGAGAAGCTACGTTACTGCTCTGAGGCTGAGGGCGGCTGGGATCCAAGCCCCTTTCAGACAGCACCGCAGAATGCACGAGGAGTTCGCAAAGCCACCATGACACCTCCCTCGGAGTGAAAGGATCACAGAAGTGGAGCTTATTCCAGTGACCACGCAAGGCATCCAAGCTTGTCTGACCAGGAACCTGTAGCAAGAAAATACAGTATGATAGGGTTTCTTGTAATAGCAGAAAACTCAACTTCTCTGGTATTTTCTTCCTCAAAAATATGAAATGGGTAAAGAACAGAAGAATGCTTTGTTTAGAGCTTACAGCAAAGCCTGCTTCGTGCTGCTTCAGCGTCTCAGCATCAAAAGAGAAATGCACGACACCCCTTGCAGAGTGGAGATTTGGATTCCTTACGGAGTTTTCTACAGATACAATGAAGTAAACTCATGTTAATAAAACCACATTTACAGAGAAAAACAGCCATTCTTGTTATTCAGAGCAGTCTTATACTGACCAAAATGGGTAAAGGAAAAGCTTGCATGTCTTACTTTTCACCCCAAAGTTCAGTTCTAGACCGTGTAACCACCATCACTCTAAATGCAGTGCTCTGTAACACCACTTCTAGCACAAAGCCCCTCACTGCTACCACTCCTCCTCATGCCCCCACTGCACTAACTGGGCTGTCCTGCAAATCTTGCTGCTGGATCTGTGTGTCCTGCCTCTCTTTTCCCAGCTCAGAGGAATCCGGACTCTACAAAATGCAAGAGAGGATGAGGCAGTACTGCTGGACCTTCAACGGCTGAATAGAAAAGAAGAACTGACCCACACCAGGGAGAAGAAAAAGGAATAGAGAAATGGAAGGTGCTAGTCATACTTTCAAATTTAGGTATCCAACCTCAACTACCGCACTATGTATTGAGGTCCTTCAGCAGAGGCTCCCCAAGTCATACCTTGACTCACTGTGTGAAGTGGGTGGTGTTAATGTCTCTCCTCTTACTCCCTGGTGGCAGAAAAAAGCAGATATAAATCATCAAAGAGCTTGGACCATACTACACTGGCTAGCCCTAGAAAAATGTTAGCAAAGCATGGCACAAAACTGAACACAGAAAAGGAAAAATTTTAAGCCATCTGATCCTATCATTAATTTATTTTTATATCTGCTTTTCCCTTTCACAAATCTTTCCCATACAACTTTTCCTTAACTGGTAAGAGTTATAACCAAAAGAACTGAAGTCAACGCCGGTGTTGAAAGTACTTTCAGGAGATGATACTGTAGTTCTAGACTTTGGCCATATGCTTTCCATACTCACTGTTCACTTCTGCAGTGGCCTAAGAGCATCCAGTGCTGGGGGTGGAGTTTAGCTTCATCTCACTAGGGTAACATGTAATGGTGAATTGTCATTTCCAGTGGTCATTAAATATTGAAAACACAGAGCGAGCCTCTCTTTGGCAAGTCTTAAGTTTCCAGAAGTGGCAGATGGTATATAAGGCAGGGCTAGGCACTTGTAAAACCCTGTGTTTTAAATTGCATGTCTCCACCACCTGACAGCCCGTCCTCCTCTGCTCCGAGTCGGAGGAAGTAGGTGTGCCTCCCCATAGCAAAGCCTCAAAGTCAGACTTTGCTAGAGACTTCCTCGCGCTCCTTCCAGAACGTCTTTAAGGACACTTCATGGGCAGGTTTATGAGTACATTTTTGCGAGTCGTGATTACCTGCACACGCAGATTATAGAGGAAGGCAAGCAGCACCGTTGCAAGCCGTATTGATTGGTACCATTACAAACTACATCAAATAAATGTTCTTTCTGACACTTTTTAGCCTTTTACATTTCACAGGGTAGGTAACCAAATCGAATGCTTTGAGTGGGACAGTGGCAATTTCACAGAATCCTACTATTTATTTAGGATGTCCTACAATTTAGATATATTTGGATGACTTTGGATGCAGCTTTAACCAGCCACAAACACTCAGATCAGCATTTACATCATAAATCTTGCCTTTTTGTTCTACTCAAATGGGAGTGTCTACAAATCAGATTAATATAATTAAACAGTACAGTAGTAAAAGAAAAAAAAAACATAGTATTATCTAAGAAGCCAGAACAACCCTGCTTACAGCTGCCAGCTAAGATCTGACTCATCTAAGGTATTTTATAGCAACCATATGTTAGGCATGTCTATCTCACCTATTATGCAAAAAATGATAACGTTTTCTAATCAGGATTTGCCACTGAGCAGGATTTTCCGTAAACATCACAGTACTGCAGGCGCTGTCCTCCGTCAGAGGAAAGCCTGTTGGAGACGCTTGTGATTTGTTAATTTAACAAATAGACTAAATGGCTGCAAATCTGTGGCTAGTACTGATTCAGCCAGGCTGGCTGTTGCTCAGAGTGTAGGTATCTTAACCTGTCTGGCAGTCGATGTGTTAAAACATAATTTAGGAATTCTGGTTTAGACAATAACTTAAGAATATCTAGAGCTCTTGTGGCAGTTCTTGTGGGGAATTACATGCTCTGGAAGCAGGCGCTACCATGTGATACATTCAAAATGCTTCCCCATGACAGTGCGGGCAGTGTTGTGTTTGTACACTAGATTTCCCTGCATAGCCAGGAGTCAGAGGGTGAATTCCTGTCTCTACAAAG